GGAGTTTTAGGAACTCAGTATTTATCCTAATCATTAGAAAAACTTTCAGATTTAATTAATTTAAATCTTATTATATGGTAATTGTTAATAATTATTTTTTAAGAATTAATCAAAATAATATACAATCAATTTTTACAATTATAAGAAATAGAAAAATAATTTGAGTGATATTTTTTTTACAAAATAAATCTCTTATTATAAAAGCTCATAGAATTCTTTAATAATATTAATTCGATTATTTTTAAAATAAACAATAATAAAAAAATAAAAGTTGGAACAATATTGGACCGATTGGAGCATAGAACATTTCTTTTTGCTTATAAAAATGTTTGAAGCTCTCTAATTTATATCTGAATATGTCGTATCTTCTTAATTTTTATAATAAATAATCTATCATTATTATTAAAAAATAATTTATTTTTTATTAAATTTTGGTGTCTTATATTTACAAAAATAATTTAATTTATTAGAGGTTGCGATGTTTAATTTGAAGGAGTGAAATAAATAGTAGACTCATTAGAAAAATGTTAAAAATTAACCACTTTAGATCTTCGTTTTAGGTAATTTAATAAGAAAAAATTATTCGAATTATTATTAATATTTTTAATCAATAGAAAACTGTTTTAATAAAAATAAATAACAGCATTTTGATTTACTTAAAAAATAGCATTTACTATTATTTACTTATTTTTTAATAGTTTTTATATATATAACAAAATCTATTATTAAAATCATTTAGTTATAATTATTATATGGACTATTAACTAGACCAAATTAAAATTAAAAGACTTGATAAAAGGATATTAAAAATGAAGAGATTGGTAACCAAATATTTTACTTATGATGATGAATGATAAATATATTTGATGGATGATTGATTGATTGATCTGTATATTGAATTCAATAAAAACATATTGCTAATATTTACAAATATAATTATTAATATTTTATGCGATTTGTTAAAAAACTAAATATTTTAAAAATAAAAATTTGAGAATATTTTCTATAAATATATATAACGTACTTTTATTGTATGAATAAAATTTTGTTTAAATTTTTTTATAATTGTAGCTTTTTTAATAAAAATCATAATTTTCAGAAATTCATATTTTGGTGCAATTCATAAAAAAAAAATTATATTTGATAATTCTACTTTTCTAATTTTATTCAAAAATAATTTAAAAAAAATATGTAATTTATATTTATTAGGATTTTTATGTAGGATATTTCATACAAATTTAATTTAGTATTTAAAAAAAATGACTTACTTTCGATGAATTAATGTAGAATGAAATCTTATTTTAAAAAAAATTATTAATATTAAATATTTAATTAATAAGTTGATAATTATTTAATTAAATTTATAAGTAAGATTATAATAGAAAAAACAGTAAATTATCAGATTAATTTATTAGAATTAATAAAGTAAAATTTAATTAAAATTTTTTCCAAAAATTATTGAGTGTTTAAATAAATGTTTATTGCGAAAAAAAAAATGTCATAATAGAATAACACCTATTTCAACTTAGAAGATCTTGTAAAAACATTTTAATTTAATATTTTTTAAATTTATTTTTAATCTTATTAAAGTTTTTATAATCTGAAATGATTTCTTTAACACATCTTGATTTATAATTAAAGTAAGCACAAAATTTGTTTTTATTCCTATTTCTTATAATTTATTTAAAAATATTGAATTATTTCATTAAAAAGTTATTGTCAAATTGATGACGAATAAATAATTAAACTGAAGTCTTATCTAACTGAGTGCAAAAATATTAAATTTTTTACTTTAAATCTTGAGTAAAAAGTTTCCTTCTCTCTATTATTTAAATTATATGGATATTAACTTATTATTGATCAATTAAATAAATAAAAGAGATTAGAAAATACAAGCTCACTAGATTTAGTTATTAATGGAGGATTTACCGGAATTTAAAAGCTTGGATACCTTCTAGCTCAATTTAATGTAGATGATTTCATTATTATTATGCTAATTTTAATATTTTTATACTTTCCTTAAGCTTAATTTAAAATATTTAATAAAAAACAATACTATTTAACTTATCAAATTAATATTTAGCAGCAATAAAATCTAATATGAAGGAGCACATTATTTGGCTTAATATCTTAAAAAATGCCTAAATTTAGAAAAATTATAACTAGACCTCTAGTAATTGCTTTTAATATTCATATTATAATTAAAATAGCTCTTTTTCATATTTAAGTGGAAATAATATTGATTAAAATGGAGTATCTGAATTATTAGAAGTTTTAAATTCAATTTAAACAATAAAAGACCTAGAAATTTGGCTTGGGTAATTATTTACTTACAAACTTATATACAAATATACAAATATACTTATATACTTATACATACTTACTTATTTACTTTCTTCATTAACTACTTACTTAGTTACTTTTGAAACGGTTCATTAACTTAATTATCTCTTGAAAATTTTTTTTAAATGATGATAAGATATTTTTATTTAGCATTTTTATTTAATAAATTTAGATATAATAATATAAGAGATGATTCAGTATTTTCTTTAGGCAAAACATTACATAGATTTAGCAATTAGATTACTAAATTAACAATCGGATTGAGGTAAAAGCTTATGATTAATATTGTTACAAAGTTAATAAATTTTGATAAAAATTTTTAGAAAAAAACATAAATTAAGAAGAAAAAAAATTATTTTTATAAAATAATTAGCATTTTACCATAAAATTAACAAAAAAAAATAAATTTAATAGCCAAACTATTAATAAATACGAATTAAATTTAAACAAATATTTAGAATTTATTAATATTTTATTATAAATTTTGAATATTTTAAATTTAAATTTAACAAATAATATTAGTGAAAATGAGATTAGTGATGAAGGAGTCAATGCAATAGGTTTAGCTCTTAGAAACTGCATTAGTCTTACAAAATTAGGATTATTTTTATAGTAGATAGCATTTTTTAATATTAACTTTTAAAATTGAATTATTTTTATCATTTGTCCTTATAAATAAGTTTGATTAGTAACTTAATGAATTATCTATCAATCTGAAAAATATTTTTTCTATTTAAAGTAAATGTAAATTTGGTGATAAAGGAGCAGTTAGTATAGCTATGGGTATGAAAAATTGCACTTAAATAACAGATTTAACGTTTAGCTTATTGTAAATATAATTATTTATTTTTTTTAAATTTAATATTTTCACAGCACTTTAATAATAAAACTAATTAAACATTTTTTAAATTAATAATAAAAGTGGAAATGAAATTAGTCATGAAGGGGCACATGAAGTTAGCATAAGTTTAAGCAACCTCAAAAATCTTAGAAATTTAAATTTTGAGCTTGAGTAAATCCAATTAAATTTAGAAAGATTATTTATTTAGAGATTAAAGATTAAAAACCATTTTTTAAAAAGCAACAACAACATAGGAGATTAAGGAGCCATAAGTATTGCAACAGGTTTAACAAACTGCTCTTTGCTTGAAAATTTAACTCTCAGTGTATTGTAAAAAATTTTAAATATTTCATTTTATAATGCTTAAAAATGTTTTATTATTCTTTCTCTTTATTTATTTTTGATTGAATTTTTAAAAAAAAACATTTTAATATTAAAATTAATTTTTATTTTTTATTTAAATTTAGCAATAACAAAATAACTAACTAAGGATATTTAAGAATCGATTAATGTCTGCAGAGTTTAGCTAATCTATAAATTTTAGAATGTCATTTAATGTAATTATTATGTTTAAATCAACTTGATTAATTAATTTTTAAAACTCTTAAAAAATATTAGAAAAGATGAAAGATTATTAAAATCAAAGCATATTCTTGAAAGCAAAAATATTAAAGTCATTGGTCTCTATCTGTAATTTTATTTTTATTATAAAGTTTAAACTTTCTTCTTAGAAAGTATCAAAATATGTTAAAAAAAAAGATAGTTTTTGATTACAATTTTATTTTAAAAATTAATGAATAACTATATTATTTATCATTTGTATTTCAATCTATTATTATTAAATCATTTAAAATAGTTGGTGTGAGTAAGAAAATGAAAGAATTGCACATAAATAAAAAGCACTTAAAATTTTAAGGCTAGTTTAATTAAAAGTTGTTTGAAAATTTATGTTTAGTAAATCATATATTTTTTAAAATAAAAATAATATTTCATAATTTTAATTTTTATTATAATTTTATAAATAACAATTTTTGTTAAATTTATTAAAAAAATGAAATCCAAAAATAATTATAAATTCTTCTTTATATATATGGCACTTGTTTAAAATTATAATTCATTTTTATTTATATTTTTTTTTAAATAAAATATTATAAATTAGATTTTTAAATTATTTTTAATTCTATGAAAAAAATAATATAAACATACTCCAAAAAATTTGTAAATCTTCTGAAAAATTAAATAAAAATAATAAATTTTGCCTATTGTAAATAAAAATGGCATCTTAATTAATAAATTATGATAATTCAACACTTTCGAATTTAAAAATAACTGTATAAAAATAAATCATAAATTTTACAATATTATTATTTTAATTATTTTAACAATTTTTTCTACATTTCAATAAATTAACTTTAAAATATATTAATTTTTTTAATTATTAAATTTAAAATAATTTGTAATTTGAATTAGCAAATAAATTTTAATAAAATTAATTTTTTATTTTATAATAACTAAAAAATTTATTTTTGCTCTTTTAAATTTTAAATGAAATAATTATTAAAAGTAATCTCAAATTTAACATAAAAAGAATTTAAATTTAGTTTTGAAAATGATATGAATGTACTTAAAAAAAAAAAAATTGTTAATTAAATGAAGTTTACAAGATATAAAAATATATAAATAAACAAATAAATACATAAAAATAAATATTAATTTATTACATATTTTATACATTATAACTTTTTTATATTTTAGATCATTATAAATTAAGTTGTGTCTCTATGTGATTCATATTATAGTATTCATTCTAATGGCTATCAATTTGATTCTAAGAGCACATACTCTATCAGTTTGCTTCTCTAACTAAATTTTATTTATTTATTGGTTAAAAATTTTATTTTCCATTTAAATTTAATTTTCATTTTTCTTATTTGTTTAATTTTATATTTAAAAAAGAAATAAACAAACCTACAATATTTTTTTTAAAATATTTCTGAATACTAATTAATTTTACTATATTTAGTTATTTATTTATTTGGGTTATCATAATTCAATTTGTAAATAAATAAATAAATGCATTTTTCAAAGTAAATAAATAAATAATCTTACTGTCTTTTATAATATCAGAATGAATGAATGAATCTATCTTTAAATATTACCAGCTGTTTTTTTATCATAGTTTGAATTGAATAGCTTTCTTAAATTTGAATAAAATTTAATTTTTTTTACTCACTATTTAATTATATTTATTTGCATAAATTTTTTGTGGCTCTCTTAATAAAAGTAATTTTTACAGACTAATTATTTTTTTATTTTAAAAATAAAAATTCTTATTTTAATTCAAATAAGAGTTAAATTTTTGCTTAACTTACATGCTATTATAATAAATCATTGATATAGTATAAGAATTCATTCATCTTCCAATGTTATCAAAAATTTTACATCCTATTTCATATATTTTTTTATTTGTTTGCATAAATCATCAATTACAGTTTAATTAAATATCTTTTAAAGTTACTCGCTAATTAATTATTAAGAATATTTAACAAATTGTTTATCAAAGCTGTGAATCTTTAAAAACTCGTACCAACTTCATATTTAAATAAATAGTTTATTTGTTTTTGTATTCTTCCATATTTAATAATCAATTCTTTATTGTTTACTTGCTATATTCAAATTTAATTTATTAAATATTTCTTAGATATATTTTCAAAAAAATTACAATCTTATTGAATATTAATTAATACATTTTTAACTTTTTTAATGTAAAGTCCTCTTAAATATTTAATAACTACCCCCTTTTATATATTCAATTTATTTTAGTACAATCTAAAATTTTATTATTTATTTATTTATTTATAAGC